ACCCGCCAGAGAGCCTCCCCCTGTGCTGAGACCAGGACTGGAAACCCAATGGGACCAGGGTGGGGAAGTCATTTCTCTGAAAATATATTCAGGGTAACAGGTATCGTTGGTATGGTGAGAGCAGTGAGGCTGGGAGAGGCATGCAGGGAAATGGTCCTGCCTCCCAAGGACTGGGTCCCTGGTTGTGCGCTACCATGCCCTGCTGATCTCTTGAGTGTCTTGTGTGTCCTGTGCAGTTCATGGGTTGAGATGTACCTCCTGCTTTGAGGCCCTGGCTGGGGACTCGGCAGTGCTAAGGACGGCACACACACACACCACTGCCCTGATGCCATGAGGGAGGCTGCACTTCGTGGAAACTTTACCTTCAGCTTGGTGGATCTAGAACTGCTCTAAAAAGTTAATCTATCGGGGCTGGGGATTTAGCTCAGTGGGATAAGCACCTGCCTTGCAAGTAGGCAGTCGTGAGATCGATCCCCGGTACCGATAAAAAGGAAAAACACACATACACAAAAAAAGTTAATCTATCTTTGTGAGGAGGGGAATGGGCTCTGGGGATGGGGCAGGGAAAGGACAAAGACAGTAACTAAAAAGGAAGAAGGTGTCTAAGTGTCTGTCCTGTAAACCACTGTGAATAGATATTCATCCTGTATTTCGAACCTATGCCTGTGTTTAAAAATACCTAGCTAGCATCACTTAGTGAAACCCCGTGTCAAAATAATATTTAACAAGGGCTGTGGATACATCTCTGTAGCAAAGCACTTGCCCAGCACATGAGAGGCCATGGATCCAATCCCTGGTACCACTCACCCCCCAGAAATGGGAGTCCCTGAAAGACGGGGGGCGGGGAGAGATCGCTCAGTTTCGGTTACTGACTGGATACAGGGATGAGAACGATGACTCCCTAAGAAAATCGATAACACCCTAAGAAAATCAAATACCAGTTTCTAAAAGTTGTAATTATTTCCCAACTAAGCATGGACTATTGGCTGTCCTGGGCCCAGTGCCATCAGCTTTCTCTCCAAAATGTATCTAGGACATGTGGACTTTGCTCCCTGCCTGTCGCCACCATGTTTAATCAAGTTACCAGTATTTCTCCTCTTAACTGTAGCCTCTCCCCACTCTGCTGACTCCAAACCTAGTTAAACAAAAACTAGGGTCACTTGAGCCAGGCATGGTGGCTCAAACCTGTAATCCCAGCACTAGAGAGGCTGAGGCAGGAGGATCATTAGAAATTCAAGACCAGCCTTTTCCAAATGAATGTATGGCAAAAAAAAAAAAAAAAAAAAAAAAAAGACCAGCCTGAGTTACAAAGTGAGCTCAATGCTAGCACAAACTGCATAGTGAGACCATGTCTCGAAAAAACTGGAAACAAACAAAAACCCCCTAAGGTCACCCGCTTTAATTACTTCCTATGGGCAAAGTTCCTGTGGCCCTTCTGGTCAGAGGGGTCCAGGCCTTCTGTGTCCACCTCTGTCCTTGTCTCCCCGATGGCCCTGGATTATTGCTTGAAGCGAGTTTATCCTTCCTTGAAACAGGTTACACCTGCTTTATCCCTTCCCTCCATAGTATAGCACATAAATATAGAGTTACTGGACGTTTTTCCTCACGTGAACAGTGTATGTTTGCACTTGTGTGTTTCCTGTCTCATACCTGACTGTCCCTAAGAGCCTGTGTTTGAGTCTCTCTGTACATTCACTACCATGTGTGTCCCAGCAAGTGGCTCAGGCTGGAGATGAAGAGTTGTGCAATAAATACTTGTGGCCTGTTTGGTTCAGTGTGGTCTGGTACAGACAAGTTCTATGTAGCCTAGGCTGACCTCGGGGTGACCCTCCTGCCTCAGCCTCCCAAGTGCTGGGCTTACAGGTGAGTGCCACTGAGACCAGCCATGAATACTTATAAGTAGGTGGCTCTTCTAGGCTGTGATGATCTATAGATGAAGCAGATACGGATCACGCTGGAGGAAATTCACCCTCTGGGTGGGAGAGAGGACTGAATTAAATGTCTATAAGGGAGTTAACATCAAAGGAAACTCTGTAAGTTATGAGAAAGGGACATTATTTATGGCCACAGAAATCAGAGGACACACTTCAGAAGGGTGGAATAGCCTGGCATGGGTGGGGAAAAGGCTATACAAGGGCACTGGTCTGAGGGAGAGAATAAAATCAGAGAAAGATGTGTGGAGGAATTCGAGAGGAGGTGCAAGAGAGAAGGTTTAAAGCAGATGCCACGCCAGATGGTCACAGACCTCACTTGCCAGGCTAAGAATTCTGGTCTGGTCTCACCAGGATGGGACATATCTATAATCTAAGCACTCAGGAGGCTGAGGCAGGAAGACTGCCATGAGCTTGAGGCTGGCCTGGCGTCCAGGGAAAGTTCAGAGCCAGACTGACCTACATGGAAAGACCTTGTCTCAAAAAGAACAAAAACAAAAAGAATTCTGGTCTGTAGGCCAGAGGCAGTGTTGGTAACAACCCAAGTGAGTTAAAAAGAATTAAACGAGGGCTGAGGATATAGCTCAGTGGCACAGTGCCTGCCTGGCAAGTGTGAGGTCCTGAGTTTAATTCCCCATAAAAAAATTAAACTATATAATAAAAGTAGAATTGGTAGTACAATGAACACTACATTTTGTTACATTTGTTTAAGAGACAGGGAGCTGTATCTGTGTATGTGCATTTCAAAGTATGTGTCACTAACTTTGGCTGATTTTGCTCCCTTGTTTTACTTTTTTTTTGGTGGAAACTACAAACAATATGATTCTTCACTCCTCAATACTTTAGCACATTCTTCTACATTTTATGTATTTTTTGTATCTATCAGACCATTGCAGAACTGAGCAAATACAACAATTGCCTAATAATATCTGGCACAGGTCCATTTTAAAATTCCAACAGTCCTAAAAATGCCTAAAATAGCTGTTTTTACAGAAGAACCTAATCACACATTTGACTGTGTCTTTTAAGGTTTGTTTTCTTTTAATTTAGGACAGTCACCCCAACTCCTTTTCAGGACGCTAGTTTTCCTTGATCCACTCTAGAGGCCAGCCCTCCTTCAAAGCACTTCTGACACAGCTGTCTCCAGGATGCTCCACATGCTCCACTTATCTGATTATGTCTTTTAGTGTCTCCTTTTACTAGCTTCTGTAACCTCTAAGGCTTGGTTAGATTCAGCTTCAACTTTTCTGGCAAGAAAACTTTTCTCACTGAGAATGTGTACTTCATGCTACACCAGGGACCTAAAAAAATACTGACTGTCTTGGGGTTAGCGATGCAAAGGCAGGTAACTAGGTTAAGATGGAGACAGCCTGACTTGCTCAAATTAAAAAGTACGGTATGTCTTTTTTCTTTGTGCTTGGTAAACGACCTGAGGGACCCGTGGCAACAGAACCCATATTGTTATAGTTGTTCCCTATTAAAAAAAGAAGTCTGCACATGGATGTGCCCTTAATAATGAGCATTTTTGTAAATTACTTTTCCAAAATCATAGAGCCAGTAAGCAGCAAAGACATGACAAAAGCATAAAAGGGTTAACTTTAGTTTCCTTTAAAAAAAATTAATTGTAATTAATTTACACATACCGAAGATGTGTATTGAATTTTTTCTCCAGAATTCAATAAATATTTCTATTTGAAACCATTTTCTAGAACAGGACATTTTTCTTTATTTCCTGTTTTTCTTCCCCGAGAAAAATCCATTTGTTTTAGTGTCCAAAAGCTACACTTCAAACTGCTAGGACAAACATGTGTTGAGTTCCCAAAATACCACCCTTTTGGCTCTATTTGTAGTAATAATTACAACGTCTAAATGTTACACTGGTTACTGAATTTGTGATTTTTTCCCCCCACAACGTATAGACAAAGTCAACTGATGAAAAGTTCTGATTTCCTGTCTAAAGCCTGTAAAATGTACGCCTAGGATGCTAAAGCCAACAAAGGCCTTCAGGGATAGAAGAGACATAAGTCCTCGCCAATTTACCTCAAGCTGGGTCAGCAATGCGTGGGGGCAAAATAGAGTCTGGGGATAGTCTGGAATCCAAAGATGAAGCGTGCGGGGCGACAAAGAGCAAGCCAGAGAAAGAATCTGGCGGTCCGATCATTCAGGAGCCGCGGAGGGTGCTCTCTTTGGGAAGCACCCCTTAGGAAGAGGGGTCCCTAACTCAGGGTGAGAAGCGGGGGTCTTATAGGGAGGGATGTAACTGCCAAGGGTCACTCTGCCGGCCCAACTCTTCCTAACAAGGTACCACGAATCTCGCAATTCAGAAACGGAATTCAACACAGAGCGAGACAGTGAATATAATACCTTAGGAGGGACGGCTAGCCTCGGCCTCCCATCAATATCCCTAAAACCGGAAGCAGACGGGCACGCCTCCGAATGCTGTTCCTGGATTTCATTGGTTATCCTGCCTGCCCCTCTCTCGTTAGGTTTCTTTCATTGGTCAGCATTGCCAGGTCTCGCTTTCACAGACAATCCTCTGAACTAATCATTTTCAATCACCGCCCCGAATGTAAGTGACATAGATACTAACCAATAAGCTATGAAAATGAGAATGTAAAGACGAAACTCCTCCCTTTCTGCCTCATCGTTCAGTGAAAGGTAGAAAAGGTTGAGCAGCTATATCAACCACCAATCCCGAAGGGCGGAAGAGGACGCCAAAAAGAGTGATGGGCGGGGTGACGTGGCAATGACTGAAGCATACATAGAAATGAGTGGCGGATATATGACCCAATCGGCGAGCAAATAGGTCGGCGTCTCTGCCTTGGTCCGTCCTCCCAGAGAGAGGAGAGACTTCAGAAAAGAACCAATGAGGCTGTAGCAGAGTCTGATTGGCCGTCATCTGTACCAATCCACGGTGGGAATGGCGGGCGCACCCCACCCCGGACTCTCACTGGGCGGAAGAGGTTGACGGGCCCGAGAGACATGCCAATGTCCGCGGGGTCTTCCGCAAGTGACACTCGACCGCGCCAATTGGCGTGCTGCTTGCCGGAGGCCGAGCCCTCCCCCGTGGCCGTCGACGGGGCGGGGACGCTGCGCGGCGGCGGCTGAGGCGCTAGCCGTGTGGGGTGCTCCGGGAGGTGGTGGCGGCTGCGGCGGCCCTCGCAGGCGTTTCGGGTCCTGCGTCTCTGGGCGGCGGCGGCGGCTCATGGCGGCGGCCGAGCTGAGAGGAGTGGTGGCTCCGGGCCCCGCGGCCCTCGCGGCTCCAGGCGGCGGCGGCGCCGGGCCCCCGCTGGCGGGCGGCGGCGGGCGCGGGGACGCGGGGCCGGGCGCGGGGCTCGCGGCTGGGACGGCGACGGGCGCGGGAGCGGGCGGCGCGGGGCCCGGGGCGGGGGCAGTGGCGGCGGCGGGGCCCGCGTCTGCACCGCCGGCCGGAGGCTCGGGCTCGGCCCGCGAGGGCTGGCTCTTCAAGTGGACCAACTACATCAAGGGCTACCAGCGGCGCTGGTTCGTGCTGAGCAACGGGCTGCTGAGCTACTACAGGTAACGCTTCCGGGGCGCCGGGCCGCGCGGTGACAGCGCGTACCTCCGCCCCTGCCTCGCCCTGCGGCGGCTCCGGAGTGCCGCGAGCGGCCCTGCGACGGAGCGCGGGGTGGACGCGTGGGATTGCAGTAGGAGAGTATGCGCCCAGGTTCCGGGGCCCACCCCTGCTCGCTGCTGTCCCGGTCGTGCACGGCGCGGCTTCCGAAGCCGGGCCGCGGCCTCCTGCGTGTCCGGGCAGCGCGCGCGCGGTGGTCTCCCGCACGGCACCAAGAGCCTGCGTCCCAGTGGGGCCGCGGCTGTCCCGGCTTGCCCCACCTCTTCCCGGAGGAGCGATGCAGCGCCTTGGCCGGCGTTTCTGAGATCTTGGGGTTGGTGGAGCTTGCGCTCTGGAGAAAAGGGAGGCCGAGTGTTTGACAATTTATTATGCATTTGGCCCCTCCTGAGACTGTAGAGAGAGATGTGAAGCTGGGCCATCTGAACTGGGGCCATAAAGCATTTCCCCAGGGCCGGAGGTCGTGGCAAGATGATTTACATACAGTTTGTCACGGGCTGCCAACAGCCACGCTGGGAGTTAAGAGATGTTCCTGTCCTCATGATGACGAAACGGGCCGCGGGCACCTTTCCCGGTGTTGGAGGAATCGGGAGTCGAAGTCACTTGCGTTCTCACCAGCATAACCTAAAACCCAGTTTAGTGTTACAGGAATTAGAGAAGCAGTTACCTGTCTAACGCTAGAAAGTTTGTAGGTCGTGGTTACTATGTGTATCTTATACAAAGGGTATAAAAAGTATCCATTCTGGGAGACTTTATGATAGTATCCTTTCTAATTGAAATCTTTTCCCCGAAGACTTTCTTATCCAGGCCTCTTCAACTGATGTTGAAGAATAGCTCGCTTTGGGTTTCTTTTCGGTCATTCGGCTGACCAGGAGTTAGGGGTGAGCAGATCCCTTTGCCTTTGTATTAGCTTTTAGAAAATTTGAAGATGAGCTTGAAGGTGGGAGTTGGAGACAGGAATACTTTCTTATCGGTCCTTTGACAGTAAAAGATGTTGCCTCAGATATCTCAGCCTCTCAGCTGACACTGTGAACAGGTGTGTATCTCATTTGTGTTATTCAGATTTGATTTTAAGTTTAGCTTTTCTGACTGTGCATCTAGGATTGTTATAAATCTCAGATTTTAGCTTACCGTGTTGTTTTCTCCCCTACTTGAGTGCATGTTTTCTTGTCATCACTGTCTGTCATTCTCATGTCCAGTTGATTTGTATCCTGCTATGACTTGAAAATCACTATTAGCTGGGTTCCCTGTTTTCACAAATGGTGCATAGCCGAGGGTCTTAATGTGTGATCTTGTCTCTTTCTTGTCCAATTTGGGGGCCAGTGGAGTGTTTGTTCAGTACTAGTCTTGGTCAGTACTGATTTTGGACATTAGTAACTTACATATTGTGTTGCAGCCACTTTCAGCTTCCTTCTTACAAGAGCTGACACTTGTCTTGACTGTAGATAAGATTCCTTTCAGAGCATACCAACCCTTGCTGGACATGGTGGTTCACATCTCAGCATTTGGGAGGCTGAGGCAGAAAGGTCACTGAGAATTTGAGACCATCCTGGGTTACATAGTGATTTCAAGGCCAGCTTGAACTACATAGTGAGACCCTTTCTCAAAAAAAGAAAACAGCTAGCCATGTGGTGGCACATGCCTCCCAACACTTGGAAGGCTGAGGCAGGAGGATCACTGTGAGTTCAAGGCCAGCTTGGACTACCGAGTGAGACCCTGTCTTAAAAAACCAAACCAAACCAAAACCTTACCAACCCATTTATAGGGGAATACATGGGTGCCCTGTTCTTTCCATGCTGATGGTCCTACCCACAAACAGCCCAGCAGCAGAGGCCAGAGGAGCAGATGTGTACCACCCTCCAGATGAGGTTACAGTGCAGTGCAGTGCTGCCTGCTGTCTCTGTGGATGTAGGCAGTTTACCCATCCCATCAAGGCTGTCAGGTGTGCATCTCCCTCCCAGAGTTACTTAGAGTTGTCGTGTGTCCAGAGTTGTTTTTGGGCCTCCCTAACCTGTAGTCTCTTATGTATCCCCACTGTTCCTCTGCAGTGTGCTTCCTAGACTCAACCTCTGATGAACCGCCTTGATAGACTTTGGAGAGCCATTCTGTGCTTCCTGCCTCCCCTGAGTTTTCTTACATGCCTGTTTCTTCAAAACTTGTTCAAAAACGGCGTGGTGGCACATGCCTGTAATCCCAGCCCTCTGAGGTTAAGGCAGAAGGATTGCCCTGAGTGTGAGGCCAGCCTGGGCTATATAAGTGAGTTGAAGGCCAACTTGCACTACATAGTGAGATCCTGTTTAAAACAAAAAGCTTTAGGGATTTATCTCAGTGGCATAAGCAGTGGCCTGGCAAGTGTGAGGTCATGAGTTCGATCCCTGGTTCATCAATCCTGGGTTGGTTCAAAAAAAAAAAAAAAGCTTTATGTGAATCCCAGCTCTCTCAGAAACACCAGGGCAGGTTGTAGTACTGGTTTCCCTGGCGACCTTCTAGAGGTTAAGCTACTATTTGAGCCAGCCTTTTTAGGCAGGACCTTTCTAGCCAGAAAACATCACTGGAAGAACTTTTCATGTTCTGCACTAATCATTTATAAGCCTTGTTACATCTGCCCAAACCTGAGAGCTTTCAAGTCAGCCCACCTTGCTCCCAAAGTGGCTTGGCATTTGTTTTTTTTTTTTTTTTTTGTCTTTTTCATTTTTATCGGTACCAGGGATTGAACTCACGACTGCCTGCTTGCAAGGCAGGTGCTTATGCCGCTGAGCTAAATCCCCAGCCCCCGGCTTGGCATTTGTTAAACTGCTGTAGACTGCATGTGTGAAGAAACTGCAGTCTGGCAAGATCACCCATGCTGAAGAGGCTTCTAGGAAGTGGTCAGTGGAAAACCATAAGAAAGAGGAATTCAGTAGATGGTCCAAGCAGCACTCCTGGAATAGACAGTGAGGGTGAATGGCTGGTCAGCTGTGCATCTGTAACTCAGGCTGCATTATTCATCATGTAACTGAAGCTGGGGGCAGGAGGTAAGAATAGAAAAACCAGGACTTGCTTTATGGCGGGGTGGCAGGTGCATACCATGGAAAGTGGCCCAGTCCATCGAGCCCTCCCCGGCTCCACGCACGCCCGCCTGCTGGTTTGGGTATAGGCTTTCTTAGAGGTCCTGAACCTTGGTCTCTGAGTGCAGGGGTGTGCCAAGTCTGGCATGCAGGAATTCTGGATGTGCCAGGTGTGTTTGGCCACTTGGCTCCCCTGCAAGGGAACCGTCTCAGCTTTGTGCTGTGGCAGTTGGCAAAGGACTTTGCCCTCTTTCTGTGCCAGGTTGGACAGGGAAAACTGCAGTCTCAGTGCTCAGGTCCCAGCCTCACCAGCAGGCAGTGGGGACGGCCGCATCACTCTCTGCACATTGGACATGGGGCAGGCTCGGTATTTTATGTGAAGTGCTTTGTCGCTCATTGTCACCAAATACTGCTGCAAAGTTCAAAAGTGAGGCTATTAATAGAACTGTGAGTCAGGAGAGATTGGGAAAATTTTACACCCAGCCCCTTGAGCACAGATCTGCTGAATCTCTTGTAGCTATTAATAGGATGGTTGAGGAGTTCCCACTGGTGGAATTCCATGGTCCTTAGGAAGAAATATATTCCAGAAAGGTTAAAATGCCTGGTGACTGTTTCATGATTATTTGTTCCTTGCTCTGCCAATCCCCGGTATTTCGTATCATTTGAGCCCAAGCTGATATTTAATAATGTAAACACGTCAGGGTGCTGTTTTACACTTCTTCGATGTAATTTAAGCTCGGTGTGACCGCTCTCATTGGGGCCAATTTACGGGGTGGGGGTTCAATAGGTGTGTGAAGTGGGGCGGTCTTAAGAAACGAGGTTAAAAAAAAAAAAAAGAAATGAGGTTAGGCAAAATCATGTTGCAGGGTGTTGCAGAGCACTTTGTAACTTCCAGATAGAAAGTATTTCTTGACTGCCGGAGGACATGAGGGAGCTTTTTGGATGAGGGGACTTTACTACATCCTAAACATGGTGATGGTGAAACCAGTGGATACATTTGGGAAGCTTCGCTTAAGCTGTGCCCTTAAGATTGCTGGATTCATATTGCACGTAGTCATGGCTCAGTAAAGCTTGCTTTTAAGAAGCTGATAGTGAGCAGGGCCAAGGGCAATAAAACGTAATTTAGAAACAGTACTTCGTAGCTTTGGAGAGGAGGTTGTTTAAAGGAAATGTAGATTTGTAGATTCCTAAGACTTCCATTTTCCAGAGAGCTGGGAGTTAGGAAAAGAAACGGGGCGTGATGAAAGATGAAGCACCGTCACCTTTGTGTTCAGCTGCCTCTGTCTCCCCATGGCAGGTCGAAGGCAGAAATGAGGCACACCTGTCGTGGCACTATCAACCTGGCCACGGCCAACATCACGGTGGAGGACTCCTGTAACTTCATCATCTCCAACGGGGGTGCGCAGACCTACCACCTGAAGGCCAGCTCGGAGGTGGAGCGACAGCGTTGGGTGACTGCCCTGGAGCTGGCCAAGGCCAAGGCGGTGAAGATGCTGGCAGAGTCAGGTGGGGGCAAAGGGTACCTTGTCACCTGCAGTTCTTCCCCAAGGCTGAATCTGGGGTGTGGGGTGGTGGGGGTATGAGTTTGAGGCAGTGTCTGGAGACAGTTTCAATTGTCACAAGTGAGGAGGTACTACTGTATAGTAGAGAACAGAGGCAAGGGTCCTGCTAAACTCGCTACACTGCATGGAGTAGCCTCTGTAGCAAAGGACCACCTCATTGGGTGTGGAGAACTGTCCTAGGCATGACACTCATGCTCCCACTGTTAATGCCTGCCAATACCTTAAAATCTGGAGACAAAATCTGGGAACATAATTATTAGCCAATCAGGTCAGTTTTAGGATTTATTTTTGTTACAACTCGTACTTTAGGTTTATCCAGGTCCTTTTTCCAGTGCTCCCTTGTTAATTAAGTTGAAATAATGCTAATAGACAACCAAAAAACTGTGATGTTTTCTATGTAGAATTTTCATTTTGCTAAATTGTTCATTAAAGAGAGCAATCTGGTTCTGTTTTGATTTTTCTTCAAGGAAAGTGATGAGATCTGTGTCTCTGAAAGGCTAGGTGTTTCATCTTAGTAAGCTTGTTCACTCACCTGCTGACTTTGTTTGCTAATTTAGTTTCTCCTATGTCTTCCTGTAGTATGTTGAATGTCTGCTAAGCAATGAAAGGAAGATAAACTGCTTTGTGAACTTTTTGAACTAGGTTATATTTTTGACCTTGACTGCATCTATCTAGCTGATAGGGCAGGTCTCATCTTATTTCTTTTGTTTCAGTTTTAGTGCTGATGTTAGTTCTTCTAGAGGAAGTGACAGTGCTAGAAAAGCACTTTGCAGTTACAAAGTGCTCAGTATGAAAGGTAGTAAGCAATGCAAGGTGTCTTGCTTGTGGTGCTAGGTACGGGACAGCTATTTAGTATATGCCGCAGGTGTTTGCTGCAGGTGTCCTGTGGACCACAGTGTAGAAAAGCGGCCTGGGCACAAGGAGCCAAAAGTCAGCCGGGGCATGACTCCAGGGGCCAGCCTCAGTGGAGGGCATGGTTGGAAGGGGTCCTGGCTTTCACCCTGGCCAGGGATCACTCATCTTCTTGGCTTCCCTGCAGATGAGTCGGGTGATGAGGAGTCTGTCTCCCAAACTGACAAGACAGAGCTGCAGAACACCCTGCGAACACTGTCCAGCAAGGTAGAGGACCTGAGCACGTGCAATGACCTGATTGCCAAGCATGGCACTGCCCTGCAGCGCTCCCTTAGCGAGCTGGAGTCCCTCAAGCTGCCCGCCGAGAGCAGTGAAAAGATCAAGCAGGTCAACGAGCGGGCCACGCTGTTCCGGATAACGTCCAACGCCATGATCAATGTGAGCACTTGCACTGTGTCCCTGCTGTCCTTCTCCCCCTCCCTTCCTCTTTTTTTGCCTCCCTCCTTCCCTCTATCCTCTCTCCCTTCTATCCTCAGCGTTGTGCATGGTAAAGCAGAGAACTTCAGCTCCTGTCTCCTGCTTGGGGATCTAGATTGCATTGTCAGTCTCGCCAAGTGAGACTTCTGCCCAGATAGTCAGGCAGACAGTGTGATAGCCGGGGAGCAGACAGGAGGCCAGCATTCCAGCCTCACATTGCCTGCAAGTAGGATGGCGCTGGGGATGTCAAGTCCCTGTGGGCTGTAGTTTAATTCACAGTGGTGCCTCATTTCAGGAGCTCATTTCATTCCTGGATTCTGGTAAAGGTGATCATGGGTGTGTTCCTGCAGGAAACATGGCTGTGTCATGTTTGTCACCTCCTGCAGAGCTCAAAAGCAGAATTTTACTTCACACTTTTGTTTGAGAACCAGATTGTTTGCAAACAGAAGCATTCGTGAGGTGAGGTGCACTGTGTTTTTTACCACCTTAATCTGTTGAAAGTGAGAATCTGCATGGGTCCATTCTCCCATCCTGCTCCTCAGCATCATGCTAGGGTCGTGTCCTGCTCGGCCATCATGTCCTGCCCTGGGGGGTGGTAAAAGGGTTTGCAGCTGGCCCCGATGAGAACTCCCTCCTTGGTCTTCAATTGCAGGACTGACTCTTGATAAGAAAATTACTGGCCTCTGCTTGGACACCTTACTTTTAAAAGAGGGCATTGCTCCTGGCTGCTCAAGGTGCCAAGGGTGGCCGTTGTTGGTTTGCAAGATATTTTAGCTGTCCAAGCAGAGGCTCAGCAAAGCGTGGTGCCCTGGCTCAAGGACGTGGTGAGAAGTGTGAGATAGATACGTGCTCCTGACAGTGCAGTGCTCCCTCTCCTCATCCTTGGTGCTCATGAACCAAGTTGTTTTAGTCCCTCTCAGGTAGAGACACTCAACTTTTCCCAGGTGAGAGGTCTGTGCTGTGGGAAGGGCCCCGTGCGGGTCCTACCAAGTGGGAGAGACCATGCACGTACAGTGACTTGTGTCCTCTGCCCAGGTGGTCAGGCAGACAGTGTTATAGCCAGGGAGTGGATAGGAGGCCAGTGTTCCAGCCTCACATCGCCCCCTAGCAGCAGCTTAGTACCACTTGAAACGCACTGTTACCAAGCTGTCTTCCCTGTAACTTGCTATGCTAGTTGTGGTGCCTTCAGTGTGACGCACATGTTAAGGTGAACAACCAGCACATCGCAGCTCTGAACAGAGCTCCATCAGAGGGAGAATGCTTTTCCCTTATTTTCTAATTTGCTTAGGGCGGAGCTTTTCTCACTGGCAAAGTGGGTCTGATGAAGTCAGTTTGAGGCAGTCAATATAGGTCAGTGTAGTCAGCCACTGATGAATACCTGGGCCAGGGGACATCCCTTAGGCTATTGCCAGGGAGCTGGAGACAAGGTGGTAAGCTGAGCCCTTGGGAGGGAGCATGTTGAGTGTGGGGGTGGAGTGGGCTGCGTGGAAAAAGCCATGGAGGTGTCGAGTCGCACTCTGCTCAGGGCAGGGTGACCAGAGCCAGGACGACTGAATGCCACAGTACCCTGGGAGTCTTCCATGAAGAAGGGCAAGGTGCATGGTCAGACATGCATCGCTAGTGGCTCTGGCAGTGGCTTCAGTAGCAGGATGTCCCTCAGGAATGTAGGGGGGCTGATATGGGGTGATTCATGCATGGTACCCCACAGAGCACCTCACACAGAGCTCTCTGGCTGGCTGGATCTTGGTCAGCCTTGTTCCAAAAGAGCAAGGGGAAAGAGCAGGTGTCTGGTGGCAGAGCGCTTGTGTGGCATGTGCATGGGTTTGCAAGAGGGATATTGGGGGCAGTGGTAGCTGTGGTTATCCCTCGATGGTGCCCTAGAAACTGCCACCAATGGGCTGTTAGTGCAGAGGGGTGTTGCTGGCGCTGAGGCTGCAGAGGAAGGAGGCCAGGTGTGGGTCTTTGGAATTGGGTTTAGTGATAGCAAATGAGAGGCAGACTTGGCCAGCTCTGATGTGGGCATTAATGTGGAGCCTAGGTTTCACTGGCCGCTTGCTCTGAGCCTGTCTGGTTCTGAAATCCTTGTGTGAAGTAGCACCTTCTGGATGGAAGTGGTTGCTGTACTGTTGGTTTCCCAATAAGAGGAGGAGCCCCAGGTAGGTTAATAACCTGCCTGGCCTGCAGCCTGTGCTGCTGCCTCAGGGCTCCACAGATGCTAGAGGAGGCCTGGCTGGGTGGGAAGATGGATCTGAGGGAGCAAGTGAAGCGGAAAGAACGATGTGCTTCAGGTCTCTGGTGTGGGCCGGACAGAGAGCTTGGAACTGCCCTGGGTTGGGCAAGGACAGAGAGAAACAGGTGGTGAGGGAACCCTGGGAGTGGGCTTTGGGACTGAGGGTACTGTGAGTCAGAAGTGGGGGCCTTCTCCACAGCTCACTGAATTTGCAGCCTGGGAGCTTTGGCTGCAGTCGGTCCTTGGGGTAGACGCGCCTTTCAGCTTCTCTGTGATGGGGAATGGGCTCCCACACGCGCATCATCTCCTTCATTCTTCATCTGGCAAACTTCACCAGGCTTCTCTTGCATCAAGACAGCCAGGAGGCATGAGATTGTGGGAATGAGCTCTGAGATGTCCTTGGTTTGCTTTTGATTCATCTGGAAAGGAAAGGCAGTCGCCAGCCTGGGCACAGCAGGCTGGAAGGTGGCACTGAAGAGGCAGCCGCACCGTCTTTATTGAAAGTGGAGCTTTTTCTTAAGAGTGAGGGGACAGAAGAGGTGTGTACTGAGGTCTGTGTGTCCCAAAAGCACTGGGTGGGCCCATGGGAACCTCGGGAGGGCGCCACTGCGTGGCGTGGACCCTCCATGGGCACAGATGGCTGTGGCTGTTCGTTGCACTTGTCCTGGTGGGAGCCTGCAAAGGCGTGGATGCAGCCAGATTAGTCTTTTCTCTGGATTGCCTCTCAGGTTGCTGAAATACCCTTCCGATTTTTAAGGTCAAAAGTAAAAGAAATCTCTCTGTATTTAATTCAGCAATGATTCCCTGCTTCCTTCGGCTCAAGGCCTCTGCTTTTGGCTGTTTGGTGCAGCCTCTGAGGGTGGTGGTTTCCCTGTGCTCTCGAGCAGCCTGCACACTGGGCTCTGTGGTGGTGTCGGGAATACCTTGCCTCCTAGGTGTGCTGCTGACTTGGTATTTGTTTGGTTCTCACAGTCAGGAAAAGATAAGAGAGCCGTCACAGCCGTGGTCACACTTCCCTGGGCTTGACCTTGGTCGTGGCTCAGCGCTAGCTGCCTGGTATGGTGGAGGAACAGGGTGTCCTTCATTGTCATTGGCCTGCCACAGTCCCCCGGAGGCCAGGGCAGGATCCCTGACCGCACTTTCCCTGTGCAGGCGTGCAGAGATTTCCTCGTGTTGGCGCAGACCCACAGTAAGAAGTGGCAGAAGTCACTACAGTACGAGCGAGACCAGCGGATCCGGCTGGAGGAGACCCTGGAGCAGCTCGCCAAGCAGCACAACCACTTGGAGAGGGCCTTCCGAGGGGCCACCGTGCTGCCTGCCAACACCCCAGGCAGTGCCGGGTCCGGAAAAGGTGAGACACGTAGCCCCGTAACGTCTTTCCACCAGAGCCTGCAACTTCCTGTGTGTGCTAGGAGCACCCTCACTTTCCATGCCCAAGCTCATGTGGAGTGGCACTGGGCTCTCCAGTCCTCCCGCTGCTTCTCTGGCTTTCTGCCATTTGTTGCTGAGTGCATGCTTGCTGAACCAGGCATTGGTGGAAATAACTGGCAGGAACAAGCACAACTCTTCTCCTTGTAGATCAGGGCTGTGCTGGTAAAGGGGACATGAGTGATGAAGATGATGAGAATGAGTTCTTTGATGCCCCAGAAATCATCACCACACCTGAAAGTCTGGGCCACAAGTAAGTGACCCCAGGTGGGCAGGGAAAGTGGGTGCATCTGGTTGGTCCGGGGTTCGCTCCACTGCAGGGGCAGGAGGCTTGTCCGTCTCCATACTTAGCAAGTGCTGGCTCCTGTCTTTCTGAGACAGGGTCTCTCTGTGCAGTTCAGGCTGGCCTTGAGCTCACTTTGTAGCCCAGGCTGGTCTTGAACTCACAATGATCCTCCTGCCTCAGCCTCCCAAGTGCTGGGATTACAGGCGTGAGCCACCATGCCCGGCTTTTTTTCTTTTCTTTTTTTTTTTTACTGGCTCCAATCTTGAGCACAGCGTGGGCAACTCTTAAACCATGTCTCCCTGGGCCTGCAGAGTCGTGCATGGGCACCCTCCTCTGGTTGCCCATCCATGAGTGGCTCAGGGTTTGCACTGTGCAGTGCTGCTGAGGGCCAACCTGACTCTGCTCTTGGTTCTTCTAATGCTTCCTGCGTTTCCTGTTTGCACTGTGCAGCGGTGCTGAGTACCACACCCAATTCTGGGCTTGGTTCTAATCCTCCTGCATTTCCTGTGCCTGCAGACGCACTGGCAGTAACATCAGTGGAGCCAGCAGTGACATCAGCTTGGACGAACAGGTAACTTGGTCAGAAGCTGTCTGTATGAGGGCTCGGGCCATGATTCCTAAGGGTTTAAATTTGTGATACACTAAGGAAACAGGAAGTCCTGATTTTCAATTTTTTTTTTTTTTTTTTGCACAGGGGAAGGGAGAGTTATAGCCAATTGTCTCTTGTTTGTGGGTGATTGAATGGCCTTGTTCTTGCTCTCAGTACAAGCACCAGCTGGAGGAGACCAAGAAGGAGAAGAGAACCCGAATCCCGTACAAGCCAAACTATAGCCTCAACTTGTGGAGCATCATGAAGAACTGCATTGGGAAGGAGCTCTCCAAGATCCCAATGCCGGTGAGGCCCTCGAACAGCCAGTAGCTGCCCGAGGACTCCCTGGCCCCTGGGGAGCATGCCACTGGAACAGTTCTACCCACTTGCGCAGCAGCATCAGCTGTTGAGTTGCTGGTGTGGTTGTGGCAGTGGCCTGGCGCCCCTGCAATGCCCAGAGTCCAAGTCTGTGCTCAGGACAGTCACTTACAAGAAGGTTCCTCCGCTGGGGCCTGCAGAGAGAAACACGGCCTCGGTTCTTTCTCTGCAAGGTCTGCAGTTAAATAGGCAGACAGGTTAAAAAAAAAAAATGCTCTGAAATTGTTAGGGGAAATACAGTTGACATACAAGAGCATAGATGCAAAAATAAGTCACTGCAGGCTGAAATACAGTTGACATACAAGAACATAGATGCAAAAATAAGTCACTGCAGGCTGGAAGCCAGGGTCTGTTTCCATGGTGACTGTGGGATTGGCTGAAGTCACACTTGCGGTCCTGTCCCTCTAGTGTAGATCCATTCACCCTGATTCAGTGCCTTGGTGGGCCTGATGCTTCCTGCCTGAACCTCCTGACCCTCGGCCCTTTGGTATGGCTGTGGCCCAGACCATTTCCGGCAGGATCCAGCTCTCATGTTGGCTCTCGGGGAGGCTCTGGCCCAGCAGCCAGGATGACCACCTTGCCCAGTTCTCCAGGAGCTCCATTGTTAGCATGTGGTAGGGCATTGCACTGGCTCACTCTGCAAGCATTGGCCATGTGCTGCCTGTTTGCCTTGTATGGGAATGGGTGTACCAGTTAGGTCCAGCTTCTATTTAAAGGCACAAGTCCAAATGTGTTGGTTTAAACCAGGGGTCAGCAAACCAAGCTAAGGACGGTTTTTATATTTTCTAATTTTTAATGTTTGAAAAATATCAGGGGCTGGGGATTTAGCTCAGTGGCATAAGCGCCTGCCTTGCAAGTAGGCAGTCGTGAGTTCGATCCCTGGTACTGATAAAAAGGAAAAAGACAAAAAAAAAAAAAAGAAAAATATCAAAACCCATACACTCAAATGCTCCTTCCTGGTGGCGTGTGCACAGCTGCTGTCCTGGGGCCCTGGCAGTGTTGAGCAGGTGCAACAGGGGCCGCATGGCCGTGTGACTCTGGGTGTCCAGCGTTCCCCAGGTCAGGCTTTTGGCCCTGCTGTCACATGTGCAGGAGCTCCTGCTCTTGGCATGATCTTTGGGCTCAGTCCTTAGGTACACAGTGGCTGCCTTCTCTTGAGCCATCAGGATCACACTAGTGCTTCAGAGGGCACGTCTGGAAACTTCCTGACTCATTAACCTCTTGAGTCTCCGTGGAGCTGAGTTATGTGGCTTTTGTCACTGGAGAAAAGGCTGGAGGTGGAGGGGGGGAATTGTGCTGCAGATTCTGTCCATGGGCACATATTTGGCCAACCGAACCATGGGAAACATTCTTCCGCTTGCACCTTCTGCCCCTAAATGACCCCAGTCTTCATGGGCATTTACTGTGTGTGTGGTCCTGGTATCTTTAGCCTGGTGCCTGGAACCTGGAGATCTTCCACAAATGTCCAAGTAATTAGTTAACTGGGTCTTCAAAAGCACATAGGAATTTATATCTAAATTTATAGGATTTTTGTTAAATTGACTAGGGCTGGGAATGTAGCTCAGTGGTCCCATCAAAAAAAAGTTGACCACAGACAAGGCAAGGCCGAAAATAAGCACATGGGAGAACCAGGAGGCGAATGGGGGGAGAAGTCGTGCTCCTGGGATCTGAGAGGAGAGGCTGGAGGGTGCAGCAGGCAGGTGGGCTGGGGGGCATCCCAGCCTCGGAACTGAAGCAGTTCCAAGCAGTGGCTGTGAGCAGTGGCTTCTAGGATAGGCGACCTCTCCCCTCTCCCCACCAGTTCCTAGTTGACTTTGCCTGGGGAAGGCAGTCCTGTGCCTGTGTACCCGAGCCATCCCTGTCTGTTCTTGGGGGTCATAGGAAGTGAATTCTGGCTGTCTCTAGGCTTTGGTCTGCTGCGGCTTGGCGGGGCTCCCCTCCTGCATTGGTTTCTGGGAGCTCTTACAGGGCCTCCCCACACCGCCTCGAGGTTTTGGTGTCTACCGGGCCCCCAGCCCCTGGGCTGCAGGACACCAAGGCTCCTCTGTACCCTGCCTCTTGGTCCCCTGCTGTTGGTGGGCTCTGTGCTGATCTTTGTGACTGCTGCCTCTCCATCGCCTGGACAGCTGCTTCCTTGCCCTTTGCATCCTTAGATGCCTTTGTTTCCCTTCACCCCCTGCATAATGAATGGCCATTGTGGAAGCTTGGTCCTTTCGGAGACACTGGTTCCCGGGACAGTTGTTAGAAGGCAGGGTTGGAGTAGGATGGACCCGTCTGATGGCTTTGCCAGCTTTTGTGGGATATGTGGGCACGCTGCTTCACAGCACCTGAGGTTTTGCTCCCTAGAGTTGTGTGGGTGTAGTTAATCAGCATCTCTCTGATTAGGACTTCACTGTCTTAGGTGGCTTCCTTCAGTGTCTGGAGCATGGTTTTGGGGTGCGGCACTCTGTATATGTAGGTGCCACTCCCAAAGGGTGAGCTCCAGAGTTGGTCCTGTGGTGCTGTGTTGATATAAAAAGGTGCCCAGAATTTCTTAGAAAGTGTAGACCCTGTTGTCTCTTTTTAAATATATAAGCACATACAAATAAGAAAATACTGCTAGTGGCTAAATCAGTCTTTTTCCTTTATTCTTCATTCTTTTTTTTTTGGTACTGGGAATCAAACTCAGGACCTTGTACTGCTGAGCTGCATCCCTGGCACCATCTTTTGTTAAAAATAAACTCTTTGTAGTGAAAATTGTATGAGTGATTTTATAGTTGAATGCTGACAGTGAATATTGTAGTCAGGGATTGGTAGTGGAAAGGTGGACAGAAATGAAGACAAAAGGGGAGTGAGTGTAAGAAAGCGAAGTGTTAGTTTTCATCTAACTGAAATGCTTCTTAAGCCAGAGCTTTTCAGCGGAAGGAAACTTTCTTTCTCTGTGGTCTGAACTTGGGCTCACATGAGGTGACATTCAAGCTCATGCAGCTGCACTGCTGATTGCATAAGCTGTAGGCTAGCTTGGGAACCCAGCTTCTTTTAGTGCAGTCTGTAATTGGTAGAATCATTTAAGATTTTGCAAGGTCTCTTTAAAATAAAAAAAAAATTTTTTTTTCTCTTTAAAGAAAAAAAAAAAAAAGATTTTTGCAAAGTTCCATAGGGAGTGTTTCCCTGTGGGTCCCAGGTAGTGAGTACTATCACTCTGCTTGAGTTTTCATACCCCAGGGAGTAGCCCTGGATCTGGAACCCTTGTGTTCAGTTAGTGTCTCCCATATAGAGGTGCCCCCTACACACACACCCACATGCATACATGTACTTTATCTCGGGGGAAAGTGCCCTATGCTGGCTCGATTCTTGGATGGGTAAGAGCAGTGCTTTTGGCCCTGGTAGGGCACACCAGAAACAACAGTCCAGACTGGGAGAAGTCAGAATCCCAGTATTGTCTCGTCCAGGGCAGAACCTGACCTCAGTGACCTCGCAGCAGTCAGGTCAGGGCAAATTTGTGATCTTCTGTCTGAGCTGGGCCTGCTGGTACACAGCTGCTATCTGTCCCAGCACCAGAGAGCAAGAGGGTCCCTGAGCTTATGGCAGCCTAGGCTGCATGGTGAATTCAAAGCCAGAAGATCTCAAAAAGCCAAATTAAATTTACCCTCTTTTCTTTCCTCGTGCAAGACTTCTGGGTGTCCTTGTGCTGAAATCTGTTATATTTTGTGATGTACTCATCACGCATCTGATGACAGCCTCCCTTGGTGCCTGGGTCTGTCAAGCTTCCCATCTCACAGAGCTTGTGGTTAGTGACCGGTGTGACAGTGACCTCCACCACTCAGTGCCAGAGGCAATCAGCCAGAGAAACCGGGTGCCTACAGGGTCAGCCCAGGAGCCACTCAAAAGCCCAGGCACTGCTCTCTCTCTTGCAGGGGTTGACAGTATCCTAGCATCTCTGCATCTGTTTCTCCACCTGCAAAAATAAATACACAAATAACATACAATAAATAAAATAAAATATGTGGCGAGTATTTGGGCCTAGTGTTTACATCTGCTCTTTTCCTTGTAGGTGAACTTTAATGAGCCCTTGTCCATGCTGCAGCGCCTTACTGAAGATCTGGAATACCATGAGCTGTTAGACCGGGCTGCAAAGTGCGAGAACTCTCTAGAACAGCTCTGTTATGTTGCAGCTTTCACCGTGTCCTCCTACTCCACTACTGTCTTCCGTACCAGCAAGCCATTCAACCCACTCCTTGGAGAGACCTTCGAGCTGGACAGGCTGGAGGAGCACGGGTACCGGTCCCTCTGCGAGCAGGTAGAGGCCTGTGGGTCTGCCACTGTCTGAGGGGAGGGGTGGCTTCTAGAGTGGTTACCCTGGAGTTGCTGTCACCTCAGCCTACTTTACTTGGGGGCCAGCCCCAGAAGCCCTGGCACCGTGGGTGAACATGAGTCTTGGGGACTTGGAGTGCGGGTTAAGTTGCTCCTCCTTCCTGCCACCTTTACTTGAACCTGGTTTCTTCAAGGTGAGCCATCACCCTCCTGCTGCCGCGCACCATGCGGAGTCCAAACATGGCTGGACACTGCGTCAGGAGATCAAGATCACCAGCAAATTCCGGGGCAAATACCTCTCCATCATGCCCCTTGGTAAGCATTGGTGTGCAGGGTGACAGGGTGTCCTGCCTCAGGGACTGTGTGCTGGCGTAGGCATCAGACTTATGCTTGGCTGAGTGGTTTGACTTTTCAGCTAGTGGAGGAATCAGGAGGTGCAGAGGCCAAGGCCCATCTTGGCACACATGCTTCGTCCTCTTATCGGAAGTGAGCACTCCTCCAAGCCCCACGCAGAGCATCAATCTCGGCACGCAGTATTTCAAAGCCCTCTTTTCCCCTAGTGTTTCTTTCACTTCTCCATGACCCAGCCCTCTGCGAGTCAGAATCTGTGATGGCAGGTTGGGTGTCCTGACTGGCCTCTACTGCCTTCCCCTCTTCCTCTGCCTGCTGGCTTAGGTATCCTTTATGTATTGGATGAATTCAGCTAGGATGAAACGACTTCAAAAGATTTTGTAGGATTACAGGTTAATTTTGTGCAAAGATCACAAAGATCAGGCGTGAGAACAGAAATCTGAATGCACAGTGTTAAAAATAGTATATGAAGTCTTCGCACCTAGATAGATCTGGTAGCTTTTCCTTACCTTGTGTTTTGTATATTTTAGGGCCCCTAAATATAGGTCAGTGGCACAGCACCTGCTTGACAAACGTGAAGCCCTGAGTTTGATTCCAGTACCAAAAAAAAAAAAAAAATCCTGTAATCCCAGCACTCTGGAGGCTGAGGCAGGAGGATTATTGTGAGTTCAAGACCAGCCTGGGCTACAAAGTGAGCCCAAGGCCAGCCTGAACTACATTGAGACACCCTGCCTCAAAAAGCCAAAAAAATAAAATAAAACTATACATTTTATGTATTGTGATCTCATCATCTATAGTTTTATGGTGTTAATTTGTGCAGCTTAAATTACATTAGAGAAAAAGTTGCAAGCAAACCACCCTTACACTGTCTTATTTGTCTAACTGCAGTTACCATCGTGGTCCAGTTTTGTCTTTTCCTTCCTTTTTTTTTTCTGAATATGTATATGCATGGTTTTAGGGATTGAACTCAGCCTACGCTCTATTCTAAACTGCATCCATAGTGCCTTTTACATTTTTCATTTAGAAACAGAGTTTTGCTAAGTCTCCAAGTTTACCAGGTTGGGTTTGAACTTGCCATCCTCTTGTCTCAGCATCTTATTTATCTCAGTGTAGATTTGAGTTAGTCTCTTGTGTCCTTTCATTTCAGCCCAAAAGACTCCTTTCGGAGTTCTTATAAGGCAGATCTGCTATTTACAAATCTGTGCAGGTTTTATTGATGTAGGAATATCTTTTTTTTTTTTTAAATTTTTATTTTTTTGGTACCAGGGATTGAACTCAACCTCACACTTGCTTGCCAGGCAGACGTGTATGCCATTGAGCTAAAGCTCCAGCCAATCTGGGAATGTCTTAATTTGCCTTTGTTTATGCAGAAGTCTTGTTTTGCCTCGTCCCATTTTGAGTATGTCATCCCACTGCATGCTGGCCTCTCAGGTTTCTTCTTCTTTTGTTTTATAATAAATACACAAAACCTAAAATGTAGCATCTTAGCCATTTCAGCTGCAAGGTTCTGGCCTTCAGTACATGTGGTAAGGGTAGACAAATCGGCCTGTCCAGCTCTGGGGGTCTCCACTGTGGAAAACAGAAACTGGTCCCTACTCCGCAGTGGCTCCCATTCTCCCTTCCCCAGGCCCTGGAAACCACTATTCCGCTTTCTGGTTCTGGGTGCTCTCAGGATCTTTATGGCTGGAATCACACTGTGTTTGTGTTTTCACGATTGACTCTTTTCACATAGCATGCTGTTCACAGGATGCGTCCACTCTGTAATGATGGCAGAACTTCCTGCTTAAGGTGCACGGTGCTTGCTGTATGTAGAGACTATGGTTTGCATGTGTGCGTGTCTGTCAGTGGATCCGGCATAGTTTCCATGTTTAGCTCCTGTGAATAGCGCTGCTCTGAACACAGGTGTGTGGGCAGCTCTTGAAGACCTGCTTTTCGTGTTCCTTTGGGTGGATACCAGAAGTGGAATTACTGGATCAGCCTGAGCTGTATAGAGTTCAAATCAAGATTTAACATAGCGAGAGCCTGTCTCCAAAATCCAAGAGGAAGGCCGGCAGCCAGATGTGCCTAAATCACAGTTACCATGCTCTTTTCCTTAGTAGTTATGGAGGGAATTTAAAATAAAAGCATTACTGAGATTGATTCTATTACTGGCTTCGTGTATAAGATTTTGATTACTTTAAGTCCCCAGCTGTGCTCACACCACTGATTTTGGTTTGGTACTCATTTAAGATTAACTCAGAGGAACAGGAAAGCGTACCTACTGAGTGCTTGTAATATTTCAAGTGTTTTGTTGGGCAAAGTACAACATGGTGTTGTTAAAGTAAGAAGTATCAGTAGAGGGAAACCAGTCCATTGTTATTTCCCGTCTGCGTGGTGCTGTTTGTCCAATGTTTCTTTTCACTTGTGTACCTCCCCACGTCCAGGTACCATCCACTGTATTTTTCATGCAACTGGGCACCACTACACTTGGAAGAAAGTTACCACGACTGTGCACAACATCATCGTGGGGAAGTTGTGGATAGATCAGGTAAGGCCAAGCCCCTGTGCCTCTGGATCGAGATAGCCTCTTGGGGTGGATCTTCGCAGATCACTTGAGGACTTCCTGTCATGCGATAGGACTTTTATCCTCCTCAGTCCCTGTGCTACAACTTACCATTTGTAAATGACCAGATCACAGCATTCATCTGTGACGACTAGACTGTGTTGAGCACTCTGAAGGTTACAAGAAAGTAAGACCCATGCTGCCCTCCTTTTAAAAGGCGAAAGATATGAACTAAGGAGAAAGCAGAGCCTGGTCTGCTACTTTAGTGCTTTCATTACTCATGGAATATTTATTGCCTAACAACAGCTAGGTGCTGGAGTTAGAGTCAGGTGAGACCTCCTACAGGGCTCTGTGTTTGGAGATTGGTGACAGTCACCACACAGCACTCCAGGGCAAGAGATGTGCTTGGGCCTTTCTTACTCCCTGATAGTTTGCTCAAGAGAGAGCGCTGCTGTCTTCTGAGCAGTGTGGCTTGGAGCCAGGTCTCAGAGTGGCTGGAGACTCAGGAGGCAGAGAGGAGACCTGAGGAGGTGTGGAAAGGCTCGCTGTGCACAGCCTGGATGCTGTGAGGGGGACACTGCGAGTTCGGCAGAAGGGTCTTGGAGTGGGGATTGGAAAAGTAGACAGTGTGAATCTCAGTGTGTGTGCTAAAGGTCACATTGAGCCACCTCACATGTGACACAAAGCAGCAACTGTCCTTGGTCTTGATTGCAGCCTGGAGTCCCAAGGTGGGGAGAGCCTGCTGCGCTCTACAGGGTTGGCGGAGGTCAGCGTCCTGAGCAGGGGGCACCAGGATGCCAGGCTGATGGGTAGAGGGCCTTGAGGTGTAGGGTTCACAGAGCTAATCCATGTTCCTTTTCCTTTTGCAGTCTGGTGAAATCGATATTGTAAATCACAAGACAGGAGACAAGTGTAACCTTAAATTTGTTCCTTATAGCTACTTCTCTCGGGATGTAGCAAGAAAGGTAAGGGAAGCCGGATTGAAGTTTTCTCACCTGACCAACCGTGTGTGTCTCAGGGCTGGCAGGTCCACGAATGTGTGCTAGATTGTGTGGCTAGATTGATACTCTAAATATGGTGCTTCATGAAAGCAAGGTGGTAGCACAAGGGCATAGACAGACAGACCTCCTGAATGTGGTGAGTCAGAAGCACAAGACAGCATCTGCAAGAGTGGACTGTATCGTACTACACCAGTGGCCTCGTTTCTTCTCTGTGGTAACAAGTGAGAAGTCAAAGCCAAGAGTGTTGAATAGAAGGACCCCTGTCAGTTGCTTCTTCTATTTATATCCTTGCATTAAAACTCCCCCTACAGCCAGGACTGGCAGTGCATGCTTGTAATAATAGCACTCCAGGAGGCTGAGGCAGGAGGATTGCAAGTGTGAGCAACTTAGTGATTTAGGGAGAGCCTGTCCCGAAGCAAAAGACTGGGGATGAAACTTAGCGTGAAGGCCCTGGGTTCAATCCCTACTACCAAAAACAGTAAAAACCCCTGTGCAACACTGAGAGTAAGAGACTCTGGGTGGAACCTATGCCAGCCCAGGACCTCGCTGTGCTCTGCTGCTTAACCTTGCTGTCTGCCTTGCAGGTGACGGGGGAGGTGACTGATCCATCAGGAAAAGTCCACTTTGCCCTCTTGGGGACCTGGGATGAGAAAATGGATTGTTTCAAAGTCCAGCCAGCTGCGGGTGAGAACGGGGGTGATGCCCGGCAGCGAGGCCACGAAGCTGAGGAGAGCAGGGTCACACTGTGGAAGCGGAACCCTCTGCCGTGAGTACCGGGTGGCCCTACAGGGCGAAGGACAGAGAGGCCATGGAGGGATGGGGATCGCCTCAGGGGTCATGCCATGGTGCTACATGGATGCAACCTGCCTCCTCCCCAGGACACTCAGACCAGCTGGACTGGGCTGCCGGGAGGATTTGCCCTCTGTGAGGCCCAGGGCACTATGAATTCTTCAGCTTAGACAGCTGTGCAGGAGCAAGCTGCCGGGAGCAGCCAGCCAAGATGGCCCAGGGAGTGAGGGGGCCTGTGGTAGTGGCCTGGGTTATCTGGGAAGCCCTGGAAGGAGCGCTGGGAGCTGGCTTCCTGGCCCGGCCTGGGTCTTGGGTGGGCAAGGCCTCAGTCTCGGTCTTGGTGTTGACAGTGACCCTGGGTCTCATGTGGGTGAGGCCTGGCGGTTGGGTCTGGATCTCAGCCCTGGGCCCAGGTGTCACCTTCCCTCTCTCCTCTGCCTCCAGGAAGAATGCAGAGAACATGTACTACTTTTCCGAGCTTGCCCTTACGCTCAATGCCTGGGAAGGGGGCACGGCCCCCACCGACAGCCGGCTACGGCCAGACCAGAGACTGATGGAGAACGGGCGCTGGGATGAAGCCAATGCTGAGAAGCAGCGCCTAGAGGAGAAGCAGCGGATGTCCCGCAAGAGGCGGGAGGCCGAAGCCGTGCGCGCCACAGAGGACGGTAGGGGCCAGTGCCTGGTGTGGTGCCCTGGAGGGCAGGGTGGGGTGGGGAGCGCCCTGCTGACCCTGTGTCGCTTCCCTCCCCAGGCACACCACATGATCCCTACAAGGCCCTGTGGTTCGAGCGCAGGAAGGACCCGGTCACCAAGGAACCCACCCACATCTACAGGGGAGAGTACTGGGATTGCAAGGAGAAACAGGACTGGGGTGCGTGCCCAGACATTTTCTGAGGGTCACACAGGGAACGTGGATGGAACAAGGACAGGACAGCGGGAGCTGGCGCCACCCTTCAGGAGTGCCCGTCCTTCCCGAATCAGTCACCTAAAGCAGCCCTGTGGTGGTGATTGGCTGGTGGCCTTAGCTGATTGACTCAGAGACCAATGGCCTGATGAGTTGGAGAGGGAGCAGCCACTTGACTGTGGTCCTGGCTATTCCCCTGCCTGCTGTCGCCCTTGGCCCAGCCTCTGTCTGATCCCGCTTGGCTGGGTGCAGTCTGCGGGGATAGGGTGCGTGGGCATTTTGGTGCTGTCCAGAGCTGAACTGATTGGGAAACTGCTCCGGAGGAGCCTCGGGGGACTGCAGCAGCGGAGAGCCTCAGGGTGGCTGCTCTGGTCCTGCGCCCCAGGCCTGCCCAGCTGTCCAGTGCCGAGAGCCGCTCCACTCCACCCTCTAATGGCAGCAGCAATTCCGTGGCAGGGAGAGGCTGGGTTCAGGGGGACAACCAGGAGCCCTACTCGCCTGGCTCTCGTCCCTGTCCCTTGTCGCCTTGAAGCTGCTCCCAGCGCCCAGGTCTGCACCTTGAGCAGTGGGCGCCTGTCCCACCCTGAGGTCCTCCAGGAGTGGAGAGACTTTGACCTGGGACCTGGATCACCATCTCTTGAGCCCGCGGACTGGAGCCGCCTCTGGAATAATGTGTTAAATACCTGTATATTATATATATGTAGAGAAAAATCTAATTTTTGTTTGATTTCCCTGCTCTCTGTTAAGAATCTTGGTTCTGAGAGCCCCGATGTCCCTGGGACTGGCCATTAGGGGCCAATGGGCCGCATGCACACTCGGCCACATCTGGCCACCTGGACTGTCTCCAGGCTGCAGTGGGGCTGCAGGCTGCCAGGCTCTGCCCAGCTGCTGAGGATGGGACCTCCCCTCCCGCTGCCTGCTCACTCTTCCCTTAGGAAGAGCATGAGGGAAACCTCGAGGCCAGTTCCCAGCACCAACATGGGAGGCAGGGGGCTGCTGGGTGTGCTGTAGTCTTGTTCTGAAGCCGCTCTCCCCCGCCAGGCGGCTCATCCTTGTTGAGGATCACAAATTGAGGTGCCTTCCTTGTATGCTTTCTGTTAGTTTTTCGTTTTTGTTCCTTAACTGCTGAGCCTCAGCCAGTGTGGGATCCTGGGGCAGAATCATTCCAGAGGAAGCCACTCCACCAGGACCAGGTCTCACGGGCAGGCAAACCAGTCCTTCACTCAGTCTCCTGCATCCCCTTCCAGCCGTGATGAACAGAAAAAGAGGGACAGATGTGGGGTGTCTCTCCTGGGTCCCTTCCCCAGCACCAGCTCGGGTGATGTCGGGGTCCTCAGTGGACTCAGTAGGGTGGAAGTCCCTGTGAGCACCCTGCTTGCTTCCTCTCCATCTGCACTACATTTCTGCCCCCACCCCTGCCCCTGTTAATGGAAGACACGTAGAGCCTTCAGGTGGAATAAAGTCACATCAAAACAGAACTATATATATTTTCAGTTCTTTTGCCTTATTGCTTTTTTTCCAAAAAAACTACTAAATTAAATAATTTTTAAAAAGCCATATTGTGTGTTTGGTTTGCTTCTGTTCTGCTAGGCAGGATGCGGTGGTAGACAGCAAAGGGTCTGCAAGAAGTTTGGCTCAGGGCCCTGGCCTTAGAGAACAACTGGTACAAAAAACCCTGGTGTTTCAACCCTGCTGCTGCAGTGGAAGCTGTGGGAGCTGATGAGGAGGACTTTTTTGTCTTTTTGAGACAGTTTTACTTACACAGTTCAGGCTGGCTTTAAAGTCACTCTGTAGTCCACGCTGATCTTTAAAGTCCCAGCAATCTTCCTGCCTCAGCTCCTGAATGCTGGGGTGACAGGTGTATACCTTCACACTCAGCTTCATTTTGGTCTTGAGAAATAATTGGTAATGTTTGTGATTGTGGTCTGTGGCCCAGTGTTGGCTGGGTTGAGTGTTTGCTTCCTAGGTACAGTGAAGTTTCCTTGAATTTGATTTCTGCCCATTTAGGGCCTCAGGCTCTGACTCAAATAAGGGCTCAAATCCTGCTTTTTGCAACACAAGCAGCTGATTTTGACTAAAGATTCCTGAGAATGGCTGTGACCTTAAACACACCTAGTTCATGTTTTCTCTGAGGGTCTCCACCAGGCAGGGGAGGCAGGGTGATGGGCGGGGGCACTGGGCCAGATCAGAGGAGGCTGGGTTCCCCACCATGCCAGGCCTTGGCCTGCACATCTGTGGCAGTGGGCAGGAGCCAAGGTGACACCACCACTAGGTGTGGTGCATACCTGTAATCCCAGAACTCTGGGAGGCTGAGATAGGAGGATTGCAAATTTGACTCCTAATGTGGGAAATTTAATAACTTGGTGAAATCCTGACTCAATAAAAAGGGTTGTATGTAGCTCAATGCAAAGGACCTAGGTTCAATGCCCAGTGCCAGGGAAACAAAAAATTAAGTCACAGAGATACGGTAGGGCACTTGGCTGACTAGAGGGCATCCTGGGACTGCATTAGGAATTTTCCTTGTACATCTATCTAGGCAAAAATAAGCTAAACAAAATGATAGGCTCTTGAGTCTGAAAAAACTGACAAAATCTAATTTAGGCAGGACAGCTGTGTGTATGTCACCCTGGAAGCACGCCCTCTGGGCAAGCTCCTGAGAACAGTGGCCTGGAGCCCACACGCTGAATGTGTAGTTTGTGAACTGCACTAAGGAGTGTGCTCTTCCATCTCATGCTGTAGTAACCCACACTCACTGCCTACTTATGAATCAAGTGGGTGGGAAACACTGAATTACTCTAACTGCCTTCCAGAGACTATTTAAAAACAGTTTTTTGGCAAGTTAATCCAAGGATGCAAAGTCATGCAATGGGAGGTGGAGGTGGATGAGAATCAGCAAATTAGGGACATTATTAAAAGCACAGCTTGCTTTTTAGAGCTGTAAAGAGGCCCAAGTCCATTCCATTTCTTGATACTATGTAGTTAAAGATTTTTCTAAAAGACAAGATGGGATTAAACAAGATAAGGTACTGTGGTGGATTGATAAGTGATCACCCTGGAACATCCAGCTGGACTGAATCAGTGTGGTGTTGGGTGTGGGAGGCCCACCAGAGGATGGCCACCACCCATGTGTGTAAAAGGAGAACTGGAGGGGAAGATGGTATGCTGTTGATTCTCCTGGAGAAGCTTGGCACGCTGGTATCTATGATATGAACTCAGCTGTTATCAGAGGAGCTCGAGTCCTGGCTGTCACTGAGGATGGCTGCAGTCTCCAGGGGAGCTCTGGTCCTTACCTTGAGCATCACTTCCTGGCTCCAGTGCAGATCCCTCAGCTGCTGGCACAGATCCTCTTCGCACTGGCACAGACTTTCCAGCTTCCATCCCTGGCCTTTGGGCTTTCCCAGCGCAGATGTAGACTTGGATGAGGTATTGCCATGGGCTTCAGACCTCCAGCTGGACTTGTGCAGGTCATTGCTGTGGGATCCAGGCCCTCAGCTGGATTTTCTGGGCCTCTGGTGTATGGACAGATAGCTTGCACTCTCCTGCATTTGATTTTGGGTGAATATTGTAATATAATCCTATAAACTGTGTGTCCTTAAATCCTTTTCCTTCCAAACTTTGACCACAACAAGTAGATACATTGTTTTATTTTAAAATGGTGAATAGGGGCTGGGAAGCTCAGTAGCATAAGCACTTGCCTGGCAAGTGTGAGGTTGTGAGTTTGATCCCTGGTACAATAAATAAATAAATAAAAATGATGATAAAGAATTTCAAAACAATAGGAGACAAACACTAGTTAATATATTGCATATTGTTACCTTCAAAGTAGCCATTTAGATTACAAGATATAGATATGAAAAGAATGATCAAACAATTGAACAATGGAAGCACAAATGCACAAACTGTTTTTATTTATTTATTTTTGTCTTTTTGAGACAGGGTCTTGCTATGCAGTTCAGGCTGGCCTTGAACTTACTTTTTTAGCACATGCTGGTCTCGAACTTGAACTCTTCTGCTTCAGCCTCCTGAGTGCTGGGATTACAGGTATGCACTACCATGCCCAGCTTTAAATTGTTTCTTTTTAATAAGTACAATTTAAATGTAAGGTTTAGCAAATCCGTGCTTTTTAATAAATACCATGTTATGTATACTACAAGATGAGATATAACATCGTAAGTCTACATGTGAAATTTTACAAATGGCTTTTTTTGTGGGGGAGGATTGTATTTTTCTTTCTTTTTTCTCTTTTTTGTATTGTGGAGTATCAAACCCAGGCTAGGCACACTCCAAGCCCTCTTCTAAACATTTCTGGTATTTGAATTGATTATTATGTAAAAAAAAAACCTTAAAAATGCCCATAACTTTGGACCTTGTAATATCTGCCTCCATGCAAGAATAGCACATTATACATATACATATACATATACATATACATATATTCACATGTAAACATTTGAATAATAAAATCAAGGGGAAAAATAATGAAACCTAGGAGGAAAGTTTGGTGAAATGGATCGTATTGTGCATACAATCTACTGTTATTTACATATCCACATGAAGGATTAATTAGCATGAAATCGGTTCATATAAATGCCTCAGCTGTGGGGGGGGGAGCCCCACAAGTTATTTTTATATGAGAAAAATAGCAAAGCAATCAAAAACCTTAGAAAAGTACTTATTACTTCTGATTTGTGAACCAGATTCTTGCCTTCTCACTTCTGCTGCCCACATAAAATGTTTGCTTCCAACTAAACTTGCCTAATGACCTTCTCCAGTGTCATAAAATGAAAGCTTCATTGTATTTAATCAGGAACAAGGCCACCTAGAGGCAGCCGAAATAGCTCAGTTGGGAGAGTGTTAGACTGAAGATCTAAAGGTCCCTGGTTCAATCCCGGGTTTCGGCAGTGGCTTCAGCACAACTTGTGCTATTACTTTTGAACTTCAGGCAAGTGTGAAAATGAGGGCTGTCCACAGCGGCTGTGGGGAAATTTGGACAGTCTTCGTTTCTGTGGTGCTAGATTTAACTAGACTGTGCACTTTCATCTGCTACATCCAAATCCCCCACCCGGCATCATCCTGTCCTCTTCCAGCCTTGCAGCCCTTCTACCTTTGCCCCAGAAGCTTTGCAGTTCATGCTCCAAAGGACAGACAGACAGGCCCTACGACTATTTCAGGTTCTCAAACCCTGCAGTTTGCAACTGTATTTGCTTCCATCACCAATTTGTCTATCACTGGGAAGGGACAACGAGCCTAGAGGCACAGATTCCTGGGGAACACCTAGGGCACAGGTACCCACCTGTCCCCAGGAACTGGACACTCCTCCTCGGGGCTCAGGCAGAGGAGGGAGCAGCAAGCTGGAGGCTCCATACTGGATCCTGATTTTCGAGCTAACAGCTGGGCATGGGACCCATGCTTATAATTCCAGCAGTTGGAAAGCTGAAGCAGGAGATTGCCAAAAATTCAAGGCCAATCGAGAACTACATAATGAGTTTAGGGCCACATTGAACTATCCAGTGAGTTCCTGTCTCAAACTAAAAATAGAAAAAAACCCCAACTAAACACAGCAAGACAGCTTCGTGACAATGGGCCTCCTTCTGAGGGAGGAAATGCAATGGGGCAGCGCACTTTCCGGCAGCTCTCTGTTCATCCAGTTGCAGATCTCTGGTCACCTGCTAAGCTGCCAGTGGATGAGGGGCTCTGTCCTCCGAGTGCTTCGGCTCTTGGGAGACTGATGCACTCTATTAGGAATCCTTTGGAAGATCCAAGCATTATCAGAAGGAAGGGCACCGAGATGGCAGCCTCAAAAGTTGGGCAGAGTGAGCTCTGAATAAATTGTCAAATCGGGACTGGTCATTTTATTGGCCAGTGTCATTAAACTGCAGCAACCAGTGGCTCGCTCTGGCAGATCTTGTGAAAGTATTCATCGTTAGAGGCAGGATTAGCATTCCCCTCGGTGGGCTTTGAGAAGCCTGGTTGTACCTCATCCACTTACTGGAGGCCCCCAAGAGCAAAGATTTCAGCTGACAAGGAAGGGGTTCTTAGAACTGATGGAAAACCCGCCCAGTAATTTGAGTAACTGAATGAATCTGGAGCGCTCCAACTGCATCAGGTGGATCCGTCCATTGATAGATTCAAGGCTCAGCAGGCTCCTTGGGAAACAGTCGGGCTGGGTGGGGTGGGTGCTAGGTGGAGGTTGGTTATCTTTGGAGCGTTTATCTTGACCCCTTCCCAGCTTTCAGCGCATCTTCTGCTCCTTCTCTGGCTCCACTGTGTCCAGCTCCTGGCCGCCCTAAGGTATAGCTTTCCACTATGAAGGAATTGGCTGGGGCCATCGTGATCCATGAACCCTGACACCCACCTGCACCGGGCCTCAGGACATCATTGGCTCACTCCTTGCGCTTCCCCAGCCTCCTCCTTGGGCAGCCACGACCTCTGGGCTCTCGCAAGCCAGGTGCAGCAGGGAGCCTCGAGCACCCCTCACCGAAGTCCCCTGCCCACGACCCTGAGAAAGATGCCACCGCTCTGGGGGGAGCTGCCGCTCTGGCCTCAGTGCCAGCCCGGTCCTTCAGGTTTGTTTTGCAGCAAATCTGCCCGGCGGAGCCCAAACCTGTTTCTTTTTCCTTCCCCTCTCTCCCATGCCCTTCCGTCACCGGGTTTCTGGGTGTGCGGAAACACCTGAAACCATGACCCAAGTAAATACTTTCTTCTTTCTTCCTTAGACGCAGACAGGCACCTGTAATGACATCATTTCGGTTTCCCTAGGGTGCTCCAACCAGGGCGCCGGCTGCACCTTGCAGCTCTCCTTGCCAAGGGCGGGCAGATGCTTCAGTCTCAGCGTACGCCCGGGGAAGGGGAGGGCAAGCCCGGCTCCACTGCCCCAGCCGATCACCCACATGGGCCGCGCTCCCGGGAGACCCAGGCCTCTGTCCCGGGGGCAGCGCCTGGGTTCACGAGGACAGCAGGCCTGGGGCCGAGTCAGCGTCGCCGTCCCGGGGAACCAGGACGTTTTTCTTCGCGTTACCATGGGAACCGCGCTCCCAACCCCGCCCCTTTGGGAGTTTCCGGGATCACCCCGCACCCCAGCTGCGTGTGATTTTCTTTTATTACAGAAGTCTCCGCTGAGAGCTCAGAACCGTAGCGAGAACGTTGGTTCTCCTTTGCAGGTGATGAAGCCGGCAGGGAGGTGACAACCCATGTAGCCGCGGAATCACCCCAGCCCAGGAGACAGCGCGGCACCAGCCGATCCAGTTGGGAAGTGAGTGGGCATTGCGCGTGCGCGGACCGGTGGTGGGCGGGGCTATGGGGTCGAAGGCAGGGCGACGGGGTGGGCGTGGCCGAAGGCTAGTCAGTGCGTACGTACCGAAGCGGGGGGGGGGGGGGGGGGAGAGGGGGGGTTACCGTTCGTAGCTTTAAAAAATCTCGTCTGCTTTCTCCCGCAGCTGATGAGGGGTGCGATTGTCCTTAACAGTGGCCTCTGACCTGCGCGCCTACGGCTGAGACTGTTCCCTTCTCCGCTCGCGGCTGTGCGGAGCGCGAGCCCCAGCGCACCAGGGGCTCCGCATCCGCAGCACTACGTGGGTCGTGCCCTGTCTCTGCAGGGTGCTGCTACGGCCCGGCCCGCTGCGCGACTCGATGTTTCGGAACCAAGTGGGTAGGGGCAGATTCACAATCAGCCTAGAATGCTGCTGCGGGTTCACGTCCTTAGAGTGCTTTTCAGGAGCTGAGACAAGACTTGATAGTGTGAGCCCGGATAGCTCAGTCGGTAGAGCATCAGACTTTTAATCTGAGGGTCCAGGGTTCAAGTCCCTGTTCGGGCGCACCTAAATTTTTATAGTAATTTTTACAAAATGAGAAACTGGCTTTAGGATACGCGTGTGCTGCCGAGTGTTCAGGTTCTCGGTGAGGTCTACTCATCCCGGGGCCGCGGCCAGCTGAGCTTCTTTTCAGTCTCTGGGGCTCCAGAGCTCTCCCGCCTCCTCCCACTGTCTAAGCCTAGCTGCCTCGGGAGGAACGGATAATAGCAGCAGCAGCCGACCACTCACAAGCCTGGACGATTGGGATGATAACGCACGCGTTCAGTATTAAAGTGATCATTATTATCATTATGAAGAACTAGCTTTCTTTCTTTCTCTCTTTTTTAAAATAAGTTTTTCGATCTGGCATTGAAACAAAAGATGTACACGGCGACAGGCGAGGGACCCTTACCGAGTTATGCCTGCCCAGCGTGTCCAACAGCGGAAGCCGCACACCCATCCAGGCCTTTGATGCGCACCCTGCAGGTCCCATGGGACGGAGTCTGCTTCCCTGCTTGCGAAACCTCACCGCAAAACATAATACACTTTGTGAAGCAAAATTAGGAAAAAGTAAGAGGATAAGGAAACAAATTTTTTTTCTAAATTTCTCTTTGGCAGGAGGAAAAGGGCTTTTGTGCTTGCCGAAATAGCTCAGTTGGGAGAGCGTTAGACTGAAGATCTAAAGGTCCCTGGTTCAATCCCGGGTTTCGGCAGCTTTTGCTAGCGCCCGAGCAGCCCAGGGCTCACACCCCGCTGGGTCGCGCTGTGCCCACCCGTGGCAGACGCGGAGCCCCTGCCCTTCCCACACCTGGTTTCAAAGGCTCAGTTCCTACTGGAAATGTTAACCCTCGTGATCCTGAGGGCAGGCTAGCATTTCCACCGCTATGCTTTATTGACGTTTTGAATATAAAAGATGAAAAAAAAATGCATGTCAGTCTTAGGGGAAAAGAAAAGGGATCCGAAGACTCTCTTCAGGAAACAGGCCGTGAGTTCGGAGAGAGCTCGTTTATACCCAACACTGGGGCGCCCCTGGACAATTCACTTTAGAAACTAAAACAGCTTCCGCCCGAACAGGGACTTGAAACCTGGACCCTCAGATTAAAAGTCTGATGCTCTACCGACTGAGCTATCCGGGCTCTGCACTTCTCGTCTGCCCCTTGCCTAACCGCGGTAGGAGAGAGCCATTGGCAGGTTCTAACTTGGTTAGGATCCGGAGTCTTTCCCGATTCCCTCAGAGGCAAATCTGCCAGTCGGAATTCAGGCTTTTGTTTCTCCTCCCCAGTCACAGAAACCAAAGTCCCAACCGCCTGCCCGGCCCGTGCCCCTGCGGACTGGGCCAGGGAATTAATTCTGAGCAGCCTACGATGGATGAAGCCGCTCCCTTGGTCGGGGAATCTGCATATTTCCCTCAAGTCGCCACGGAAAGCTTTTCTGTCTTCCGGGCGTTGTTCTGTCCGCGGCCGCTTCCCAGGCGCCCCTAATGAGTCTTTTGTGTGATTTTTATCCCTGTTTCTCCAGATCTTCGCTCCCGCGGCGGTAGGATGACAGTCCCGGGAGGAAGGGAGGCCTGGGGAGGGATGCGGTCCAGCCTCCCGGCATTGCAGGTTGAGCTCTGGTCCAGAGGCCCCGCCAGGTGGGAGGCGTTGAGGCAGGAGATGAGGGAGGGCTGTGGGCAGAGATGAAAGTCAGTCAGTTCTGGAAGGACGCCCAGGTGAAGTAACGACAGCAAACACTGCCCCGCGGTAAGCGCGTAACTTGCGAAAACTAACGTACACACACACGCATGCGCTAACGGCACGTTGTGTTGTTTGTGGCAACATAAGAGAATAACCTGATCATCTGAAGTCTGCGGTCTGGGAGGGCGCGGTCTCTGCTGCATCTTGGCCCCATCACCAACACGGAAGAGTGGCGCACGCATTACTTTTACAGTAACACAAGTGGGAAAACGCGGTCTGTTACACTATTTCACGCTTTTGGGATTTCCCAGTTGGCCGCTCAGATCAACACGTCTTTAGATGCTATGACTGCTAAGCGTTTAGCAGAGAAACGATAAAAGCGTAGAATTCCTCTTTAATGCTTCGTGGTTGGGGAGGGAAGCAGCTGATACTAGAAAACCAACGTGCTGGGTTCAGCGCTTTCATTTCTTTCTCTCTCCCTCTTCCTTTTTTCCCTCCCTCTGCTGCTTCTCCTCTTACAGTTTTCACCAAGATACGCATCCCTAAGCACCGGAGGCCAAGCCAGGGTCCACCCAGAACTTCACGCCAGAGCCCTGGGAAGGGCCTGCCCGGAGCCTGGTCCCCCAGCAGCACCGGCTGGAAGTGGCTGTCGAAGGCAGCTCCAAGATGAACAGAGCAGCTGTTTTGCGCTTTCCCTGGCCAGAGGCCTGGGGATCGCTGGCTGACCTCGCAGAGGCCCCAAGTTGTCTGGCAGGGTGGGGTGAGATCCGAGCCTGTCTCTGCCGTGGTTCAGCACGGCCCACTTCGCACCTTCGGTGCCGCTGCCCTTTCCCCGGAAATGGAGCGCAGAAGCCCCGTGCGCCACGGCGCCGGGCCAGGCCTCCTTGCCAGGGGTTCTCCCAAGCTGTCTCCGGCAAGTGGGCGTGCCAACGTCTTCCCCGTCGCTGCCCACGCGTGGCCGCGCAATGACCTCGGTGAGGAGGATCGCTTGCGTTGTCATCTCGCGGACAGACCCTTCCTGCTTCCCAAACCACAGACTGCGTTTTCCAACCTGCGTCAAAAGGAGCGCGAGGCTTCTAGTGAGGTTCGAACCCACAGGGATACTAATCCACTAGGTTTTAAGTCTAACGCCTTAACTACTAGACCATTCTGATACCGGTGGACAGGTACTGCAGCTCGAGCGACTCGAGCGACACCGATTTTCAAATCCCCAACAATCGAGGTGGCTCCGGATGCACACACGCGACGGGCCCAAGCCTAACGACTGAGTTCCACCGCGGGAGCCTGATCCAGCTCGAGACTCTCGCAGTCACCTGGGCCCAGAGCGCGCGGGTGGTGAAGGGCGGGGCTTCGGATACTGGTTTCTCCCTTCGTCTTCAGTGCCCTTCACCTTTCTTTTGTCAAAATAAAAGCGACTCTGGTGGGACTCGAACCCACAACCTTTGAATGCCTCCATCTGTCTAGAAGTCCAATGCGCTATCCATTGCGCCACAGAGCCAGTTGCTTGTTCAGCGCTCCGCGCCTCCACATCTGAGTCCGCACGCGCATCCTCCCCCGTGCCACGAGCATGATGAACGCGAAGCCCGGGGACGCGGAGCTGAGTCGAACAATTCCGTCCGGGATCAGGATGTCACAGGGCTGGGCTTCATGTGGCACTACTATGTGTGGAAGCAAATGGCAACAGCGCGGTTCCATAGTGTAGCGGTTATCACGTCTGCTTTACACGCAGAAGGTCCTGGGTTCGAGCCCCAGTGGAACCAGAGCGGTTTCCATACCTTTTGAAGGTGCCGTGCACGGTTCCTTTTGCAGGCGCTGTGCACCAGTTCCGGAGTTCAGGCGGAGGTTACATTTGCTTTCCCAGCGCGAGCGGCCCTTCCCGCTCCGTGCCTAGCGTTCCCGTGACGTCCGCTGTGCGTACTTACGTGCGTGCGTGCGCGTGCCCATACACCACGACGTATTACTGAAATAGCCTGAGCCCAACCTCCTCCTTGCATGGTTCCATAGTGTAGCGGTTATCACGTCTGCTTTACACGCAGAAGGTCCTGGGTTCGAGCCCCAGTGGAACCAGCGATGGTTTTTGAGTGCAGATCAGCTTTTGCCTTCCGGTTTTTGCTCCCCGCGGCCGGAGAGGAGCGGGCGGTTCTTTCTGGCTTCCCTGAGCTTATCGCCCCGCTTCCCCGGCCGGTTCCCGGCGCTCGAGGCCCCCCGGGGCTGCCTCCGCGTGGCGACTCCGCGGAGGTGCGGCCGGCGCTCTTTTGGTCTCCCCCTCGCGCGTGCGTGGGTCTCCGTGGACGCGCCGCCCCCTCCTTTACTGAGCGTGAAACGCGTGGCAGCTAGAGCGGCGCCCTGCTCTCTCTTCTGCTGCTCCTGCTTGCCGCGCGATCGCCAGGGTTTCCCCGTATCTGCAGCACATATGCGGAGCGTTTATACACTGTTTCTTTCCTTTTCAGTGTGGGCCACGGGGCCCCAGGCTGCAGCCCGCAGGCTCGGCCAGAGCCCGCCTCGTGAGCTGGGAGCCGGGTTCACCCGTCCGCCAGGTTGCGCCGCACCCTACTCGCTTTTACAGAAGGTGGAGGAGCGCTGAAATTGCGTGCCTAGAAAAACCCTTCCGCGCTTTGCGATTCCGAACTGCCCATTGCGCTCGCTTTGCCCCGGTGGTTCTTTCTCCAAGGCTCTGAAGTCCTGGCCGCAGCGGAGGTCTCTGCTTCTGCGGGCCCCTCGGGACGGGTTTGGAAGACGCTGGGTGCTGGGTTTCGCTGCCTGGCTGTCTTCTCCCGCGTCCGCTGCTGACTTCCTTTATGTGCAGCTCTGTGCCAAAGCACCCTTTCCCGAAGAATACCCGTTATGCTGCATCGGGACCCACCTCTGATTTTTTTAATTTTAATTTTTTGGTCAAAATGATTTAAAAAAATTTTTGTGTTTCTTTTTAAAGATGTTTTTATTAGTACATATTTGTGGTCCATCGTGATTCCAGTCACCTTGGGAACAGGTACACTTGTGCACACATTTCACTTCTTTACCCTCCCTTTCCTGGCCTCTCCCCCTCTCCCTCTATCTTGACATCCTCTACCTCAACCCATTTGCAAATGAGCTATCTCAATGTTGCCTGTTGTCTTTAATTTTGGTTTTTAAATTATTTATACTTTGACTTTCTCAGATGAGATGTTGCATGATATTTAAGGTTGTACACCTGTTTTATTTATGGTTGCAAGGGGCATCCATTTTCTTACAAATGACACAAATTTTTCTTTATGGCAGAGTAGTACTCCATGGTGTGTAACACTACATTTTTTTTTATCCTTTCATCTGTACATGGACATACAGGCTGCTTCCAGGATTTCACTATTATGAGCTGTGCTGGTATGAAAATGGGTGTGCATGCTTCACTGTAGTGTGACCCTAATGACGGCATTTTAACTGGGCTATACCTGTGAGGATTCTATCTTCAAATAAGGAGGCCTCCTGAGGTGCTGGAAGTTGGAATCTTGGCATAGGGCTTTAGGTGGAAACAATTTGAGCCATAGCATAAGTTGTCCAAAGCAGGAGATGCCATTTTGCTCTCAAACATGGGCCGGAAATTCCAGTTCATCCTTGCGGGGTTTGAATCCAGAGCAAGACAGAAGGGCCTGGTGGAGAGAGCCGCTCACTTCGTGGTGCCCAGGAACCAGAGAAAGGAGGAACACAGACTCCAGCTCCTGACCACAGGCCAGCTGCAGCACTCTAAACCCCTGCCTGGAGTGCATGACACCTTTGGGAGATTTTATTATGTATTTCGCGTGGGCAATTATTTGAAGATAATAAGATATATTATGGTAGCCACTGTTGATTTACTATTATCTTGTTTTGAAGTCCTGCAGCACTTTCATTGTTTTGGTTTGATTGGTTCTATTCTGTCTTATTTTCTTTAACATAAGATTAAAAAGATTTATTCTGTCAGCTTGTGTTTACATTGGAGAGTTGAGATCATTTACATTCATTCATTATTGAAAGATATGGACTCATTCACATAATTTTGATTTTCTTCAAGTTGTCATGTAACAGAGTAGGACAGGGCTGGGCAAAGAGAGATTCTAGAAGAAAACAAAATAAAGTCTTAATAAAAACCACACAACAGACTTTAAAAAGTCAGTTGAAAGTCTTAATAACAGTCTACGTCATGCAGAATAAAACACAGCAGAACTTGAAGGTAAATATTCATTCAGAAAGAAAAACAGACATTCCTTGTATAATGACCTACCTGTTTAGTGACTATTGGGACTGAGCCATGATTTTCAGACTTATGCCTGAACCATGCTTTTTGGACTTATGACCCTCCAACTGGGTTTAATTTTTTTTTTGTCTTTTTCGTTTTTATCGGTACCAGGGATCGAACTCATGACTGCCTGCTTGCAAGGCAGGCGCTTATGTTGCTGAGCTAAATCTCCAGCCCCTGATCTATTTTTTTTTTACAGTTCTGTATGTTTTATTTATAGATGTCTTTCTTTTGTGCAGTACACCTTGTTTACACAGCACTGTAATTTTTTCTGACTGTATTTACGGAACAGTACTATGGTTTTATGGTCTTTTATCCTCACAGTATTACATATGAGTTATACAACTGAAAGCAAAGTCATCGAGTTGGTGTTTCCTTTGACCTTTGTTCGGAATATTGTAATACACACACTTGATATAGTTGCTCATCTGATGACCAGACCATTAAATACCTATTCTCAGGACAGAACTCAGTCATTAAATGAGTAATCCCCATAATGAAGACACAATAAACAAGATACCCACTTGGTGGATAGCATGGCCACAAGTCAGGAGTATCAAAAACATGGATCAAAATCCGCGAAACTCACTCTGTCTACAGCACTGATGGTCCAGGAGTGGCTTTCATGGGATATGATGGCCATTTTGGTCCCTTTTCTGGGGTTAAAAGATGTCATACAGCACATCAAGGCCTTAACTCTCCTTTGTGTGTCTTAAATGCCACCTTCTCTGGGGTTCCTTTTCTGAATAAAGATGTCAAGTGAAGGAGACAAGCTGTCCTCCAAAATCAGATGGACCCGGACGTTGTAACAGCAGCAGAAGAAAGGACCATGTGAGTATAAACACTAAATGTTGCATGTACATTCCTTTTCCTTCTGGTGATATTTCAATGGCTGCTCAAAATACTGAATGACAGAGCCTGCATGATAGTGCACACCTGTAATCCCAGCACTCAGGAGACTGATAAAGGAGGATTGCTGTGAGTTTGAAGCCAGCCTGGGCTACAAAGTAAGTGCAGGCCAGGCTGAACTGCATAGTGAAAGGCTGTCTTAAAAAGACACACCCCCCCAAAGATATTGGATGACAGGTTAATTCCATGTCAATTCGGAGCTCCCTGTACCTTCTCCTTACCCTCTTAGTTGGAGCCTGACACTGGCTCTTCCTGGTGGAAACGTTTGTTGGCTGTATTACCAGAAGTCTTGTTGATCTTATTATTTGGCTCATGCATACTGAACTGATTTTTTTTCGGCTTTGTATCCTTTTTTTTAAAAGCAATATGCCTAGCTAAGATGAGATGGCTGGTGTCCATCAGAAGCCTCTCAGTAGAGCCTCTGAGGAGTATCTCTGACCATGAGCCATGACTATGACCCCTTCATCAAGAAGTCACCAGCGTGGGCTTCGCTCATGCGCCCTAACAGTAATTAGGGATAGCTCTTCTGGCGGGGGGTGGTGGTGGTGGTGGTATTGTAGACATTGTAGACAGGCGGAAATCAGTAGGCAGTCAGGCAGGATGGGTTCTCAAAGGAGTCAGTGCCACAAATGAGAAAAAATCAAAACTGTGGTTGGAGGCGCCTCAGAAGAGGACCAGACTCAAAGTCACAGGGTCCAGGCCTGCACATTTCCCTGAGAGATAAACAGTGGCTTGAGATTACTCTGTAATTAGCACCATTGAGTCCAGTAGGCATCAGATGTCCAGGTTGGTGACCAGAATATCTGCACCCATCCCTCCCTTCCCAGAAATGTTTTTGGTCTTTCTATTTAAGAAGTCACGTATCTGTGCTACACTCCTCACCTCTCTCTTGAGTTGATGTTAGCCAAGCAACTCCACCTGTGTAACACTATAAGTTGATTATAGTTCACGCCACATTGTACCCACTTCATAATTTTGCTCTGTAAAATATTTTTGGAAGTGTTCCCTGTGTGGCAGATCACTCTTGGGCTCCCCACTGTCTCTCAGGAGCTGACTCTTAATAAATCTTTCCTACTCTTAACTTCTGTTGTCCCTTGGAATTCACTGTTTGATATTTGGGGACATGAACATGGCCCCTCTGACATCTAGCAGGCTAGGGGTTAAGTTTCTCCTGTATCCACACACATTGGTCTTTCTGAGCCTGGCTTATTGTGCTTAATACAGTGTCCTCCAGCCTCATTCACATTTCAAATGACAGGACTTTTTCTCTCTTTGTGGAGCACATACACTAAGCAAGCTGTCTACCCCATGAGCTGTATCCCCACCCAAAGTTTCACTGTTTTTAAAGACTGAATAATGTACATACATGTACCATATTTTTTATGTATCAACTAGAGATTTTATTTTATTTTAAAGAGAATAAAATTAAACAACAAAAATAAAACAAAACAAGTCATAAGGAAACAATTTTAAGAAACACAAATTTCAAAGCAAGACCACTGGAGATCTTCACTGTCTATCATATTATCTCCTGTTTTCTTCCAAATAGTTGTCCACATTTCACATACAGTGAATACATACTGAACTTTATAGTACTAAACTAATCAGAACAGGATGATGAAGGCATTTTAGGTCTTCTAGACCAGACAATAGGGAAGTTAACAATGGCTGCCATAATGTCTCTTGTTCTCTTCGAAGTAGCTGTCCTTATCTTTATGTATGCTGAAACTGAGCATAACAGACTAGACTAATATCACTCTGAACAGTGAATAATAGTATTGCTAGATTTGATATCACAATGCTACAGAATTAGCACTGGATATCTTAGTGTCTCTTCTTTTTCAGAGTATCTGTTCATTACATCATGCATTATATAATCTGTTCCCGTAAACCGTTTAGAAATTCTATACATATGTGAATCTCTATATGTATACCTATCCTTTCTGTATAATAGGGAAAAACAGATCAAAACAAGATGCTAAAACAAATTCCTAGAAAAACATGAAATGAAAAAGACATACAAGACCACAATACTAGGTGATCTCCGGTAGTTATTATGCTTTCTCTTGTTATTTTCAATAGAATTGTCTACATCATCAGGCATAATATAATTGAACATAGCATTACATAGCAATTTTAATAAAAACACAACATTGGAGACATTGTAGGACTTCAAAAGCAGTTAATAATCAAACTGGAATGGGTATCTTATTGCATCTTGTCATCTTCAGAGTAGTTGCCTCTACTCTTAGACTTGATATTATCAAGCATACCAAAGTCAAATAAAATCAGTCAAGGCAAAACAGTGGTCTAACAAGCCAGCTTCAAATAAGATCAGTCATAGTAGACAAGGTAAGTAATACAGGGCTTCAGTTTAAGTTAATAGGAAATTAAGCATAGTTACCATAGTATATCCTGCAATTTTTGGGATATTTTTCTGTGTCCTCAAATCTAGTATGAGTACAGACTGGAACAGAATAAAATCAAACTAAACAGAGCGATGATTAATGTAGCATTTTAATCTGGATACACTATTAACAATGTCCTCTGCCTTCCTTTTTTAGACAATTTCTTCCCTTTCC